ACAGCACAGGGGACCAGTGTGCGGCCAAACCCCACAGCGAGCGCCGAGTATTGTAGGGGATGACTGAATGGGCACAATGTCTTTTTCTTTAGCTTATGACTGTGTCATATCGCTGTGGACTTTGGTATTCCCAAAATTATAAAATTAAAATATTCCCAAAATTGCTTGAAACGTACTAATCAGTAAACTTATGTTTTATTTTATTGTATTTTACAGATTGTATTTTACAGAATAGGGGCATAATGGCAAGGTCAACACGGTCACAGGACTTCTGCCACAATCCACACGCAGGCTCCCTCTTGCAGGGCTTGCAGGAACTGCGGTCTGACAACCTGCTGACAGACGTCATCCTCTGCGTCTCCGGTAGAGAGATCCCGTGCCACCGCAATGTCCTCGCTGCTTGCAGCGGGTACTTCCGTGCCATGTTCTGCAACGGACATCGCGAGAGCCAGGAGCACAAGGTCACCATTCACGACGTCGGCACCAACATCCTGCAGCTACTTGTGGACTATGCGTACACGTCGAAGGTCACCATCACAGACGACAATGCAGTGAAACTGCTGGAAGGCGCCAACTTCTTCCAGATCCAACCGGTGCGTGATGCTTGCGTGAAGTTCATCTCTGGTAATCTTAGCTCTAAGAACTGTCTGCAGATGGTGCGCATGGGGAGCATGTTGTCCTGCCCCGACCTGGAGAAGAGGGCGTGGTCCTTTGTCACAAGGGAGTTCTCGGCAGTTTGTGGGACACGGGAGTTGCTTTATTTGACAAGAGAACAGCTCATCAAGCTGGTCTCATCTGATGACCTTGGTGCCTCTGAGGAAAGCGTGTACACTGCCGTGATGGCCTGGATCAACCACGACGTCAGGAAGAGGAAGACGGAGATGAAAGACCTGCTGAGATGGGTCAGGTTCCCTTTCATGGACAGGCTGTACTTCATGGAGAATGTGGAGAGCAATGAAGCAGTACGCAAGGCTTGCCAGGATTTCTTGACGGAAGCTCGTAGGTACCACATGTTCCCAGGAGAGGTCCAGTCGCCTCGCACCCGTCCCCGCCGCACCAGTGGTCTGAAGGAGACATTAGTGGTCATTGGAGGAACAGAGAAACGGTCAACTACCCCCGACGACCCTACAGTCTTCTCAAACGCCGTCATGACAACCATGGTTGCAGCACCATCAGAGACGAGTTGGTCTGTTACCACGAGAATGAAGAGGAACAACGACAGTGGTTTTGCTGTGGCTGTTCTCGGCAAAAGCGACATCATCGTGTCTACAGGCACCAGTTTTGCCCAGGAAGTGTGGCTGTACCATCCAGAACTCAACTCCTGGTCCAAACTTGCTAAGATGAACACCAATCGGTACAACCACAAGCTAGTAGTGGTTCAAGGGAAAGTATACGCCATTGGAGGCAAAGACGACCTTTCTGCGCTATCAGATGTGGAGATCTACGACAGGAACCAGAACAGGTGGACGACGGGGATTCCACTCCCACAGCCAAGGTACCACCATGCAGCGGTAGTGTTGGACGGCAGGATATACGTGATGGGTGGATTTGATGCTGATCACAGACGAACATCTACAATGTACTGCTTCACCCCAGGTGACTCAAAGTGGAAGGAGGAGTACTTGCCTCAACCAGGAGGTCGTCTCAACGCTGCAGTTCTCATGGGCAGCATCTATGTTGCTGGGCTTTATGAAGGCTTTATGGGTAAGTGGAACCAGTGGGAGTCCTGGCATTGGATGAAGTGGCCCGCACGTGTCCCATTTGAGTGCGGGTTAACCACGTACCGGGGGAAGATTTACATCACGGGCGGCCACAGTGGCGACAGCAGGGGAGGCAAACAGATCTGGTGCTATGATCCAGAATTCAAGTCATTCAAGTCTGCAGGAAACTTGCAGAAGGGTCTGTATGGCCATACCTGCGTCACCATACTGAAGTGTTGCTGATTAGAAAGTTGATGATGATTGCATAAAGTTGACTGTTCTGTACTGGACTGTACAAAGCTACCAATCATGCTATGGTGCTGCATATGAAAGTAGCTGTGAAACTGTAGGGGCCCATACTGTATCAAAGATAAGGTGCCTTGTCAACTTTTCTACATGACTTCAACAAGGAAGAAAGATATTGAGAGATAAGAATATGCAGGATCCGAGGACCAGAGAAGTGACAGAACATAACTGGAAACCCTGTTTTGTCATATCTCGTAATGGACAGTGACCTATCTTGTTTCACATGTTATTTTTCTATCAAGTTTGGATGGTTAGGTTTTCTATCTATAGAGCCTCATCCAGCCAATCCACAAACTGTAGGTAAGGAGTGAGATTTGATCATTATGCTTAGGATAATGTCCCTTTTTCTGTACAAGTCACAGTTGTTTGAAAGTTCACAAACCACCATGTTACGAATCAGGGTTAAAGGAATAAAGTAGAGATAGAATGTTAGTTAACTAGTTCCAGTTAACATTTTATTAACATTATATTTTAACACAATATATGTGGTACTTATGTTTTGTTATAACGCTAATAATTGATAAGGTTTTTTTAACAAGTTACTGTTGAAGAGAACTTTCAGTCTGCTGTGTGCGTTTTTTGGTCTATCTAGAATTCATAGGATATTTTGTAAATTTCTACTGAATAGTTAGGGCTGCAGTACTTGAGGAAGCCACAAGGAGAACTAAACTCGTATCGTTTCTTACATATCAAAATCTATCCACAACTTCACCTTGTATAGTACTAACTTGATATGAAGTAACAACCAAACTATAGCTGATGAACACAGCTATCAATGACATAAGGTCCTTTACATTGTGCAGACTTGTAGACATGCTGACGCGATGTTGCCATATTGGTGCTGAGAAACCGCATGTAACCTTGGCCCGGCCTGGTCGTGTTGGAGAGGCCGTGCATAGTAACATGTCCAACAAATCATGTACAGGACTTCCCTCAAATGATATAGGGATAGCGCATCATATTTACCATTTGCTCGACGGATCAATGACCATTCTTTTCCATTGTACCTTTTTACGCTGACTGTGCAAAAGGCAAATCGCTTTTTACGCTGACAAAAAGCAAATCGCCAAAAGGTAAGGTTCGACCTGTATGCAGCCCGTTTTGAAACGCTAACGTGTTTTCCAACAGAAAAAGATTTGAAACGCTCCGGGAGTCTAGATTTTTGTGACCGTGATACAAGCAACTCCCCATGGCCGGCCTAGTCTCCTGTGCAGGTCTCCGGGCGTGAGTTTGCGTTTAGTAAAATTCTTACAACCAGCCGCTATGGTGCGTACAGTCCTTCTGGGTGTAGGATGGCTGACAAAAGAAAGCGTTAAAAATTCTACAAAACGCAGTATCAAAACTCCCGGAGGCCTGCGCAGGAGGCTAGGCCGGCACGGGACGTGGGGCGCCGCATGCTGCGTCAGCTGTCGGGTCCGATTCTGAATTTCAAATTTACGCCCCGAATGTCAGTCACTCTTTAGCTTAGTAGCCGCCGGTCGGACAGCAACGTTAGAAGCTATGGCTGCATCGGTAGAAACGGCACCAGGGGCACTTGGCCGGGAAAACTTAAGGTACGATTAATAACCTACTGTACTAGGCATAATATTGCTTTCAAATTGATAAAGGTTATGAACATTTGAGGGGCTAAGCTGCAGAACACGTATTTGAACCTTCTCGTGTTCAACGGTGGGCTATGTCTAGCGAGTGGAACACGATGTCCTGTTCTTGATCCCGGCAATGTAAGCTTTGCCAATGCACAAAGAAAGTCGTTAGAAGGGAGCGAACATCTCAGTTCGGAGAAAATAGTTTCATAGAGCCAATGTAACCTTACACGTGCGTTAATGTATGGGGATTTCAATCGCAATGTTTCCCAAATTCAGATCTTGGCCATGTTGGTCCCTTCTAGATTTGCTTCCCCGGTTTCCCCTCCTTGAAGCACCCCTTCAAAATATCTCCGTATTGCCTATTCATGTAACGTCTTTTACAAGTAAGGAATACTCCATTGAAACAAAACGTAGTTTGTACCACAACGAAGACCGTAGAAACCTTACACAGTGTACTTGGACTTGCCCCCTCCCAGCCCAGTACCCACCCACGTGAACCCTCTCCGTGTGACTACTATGCGCGTTCTATTTTGGCCGATGATATGTGAGCGTGTCAGGGAGGCTCCTAACAATAACAATAGCAACATTCAGTCGGACGAATATGGCGCTATCCTCGCAGCTGCTCGTGTGAAGTTACCAAACGCCCGCTATGTCACACATGACAATTAATCATAACGTCAAATGACCAAGAAAGTTTCTGTCATCTATTTCGACAGATAACGCTATCTTCGATATTGTATATTGTGGGGATTCCGTTGCCCAAAGAAAGTCACATCGCCTAAAAGACGTCATCATACCAAAGAGGTTCCTTGATCAACAAACAAGCAAAAAGACCACGCAGAGACAAACGCTGCGTCCAGGCGTCAGGGCATGTATTAATGGGCAGTTGTTGTACATTTGCCAAGTGTCACAGTCGTGTCAAGAAGCAGTAGAGTCGACGTGGAAATCCGACAGACACGAATACAATGTCAAGTATGTATCGTTATCCTGTTCTTTACAACCAACATAAAATGAACTTATCATAGTTTTGAAATAGGGACGAAGACTCCAGCAATCTATCCAAATTTTGACATACGAAAAGTCGTTCACCTTCCAATCGCTGTGGCCTAGGCCTTGAAACTTAATCCCCTTCAGTTTGCCAACAGTGATGGTCAATCCCATCGTTGCTATATGAAGAAGACCTTGGCCTAGTTCCAGAGGAAATATTCTAGACGCGTCTGTCCTACTGCCCCTTTTCCCACCGACTAAGACATTGTCTACATTCACACGTGCACGGGTCTCAAAATAACGCATCTTTCCTAGGGTCGCATGTTCTAAATATTATTTTCACAAACTTGTACAATGTATCAGCGATAGAGACCTTCTTGATATAAAAGATACTCGTAGATTCTAGCTTCATCATGGATAACGTGAAGCCAGTAGTTGTTTCGATCAAACATGTTTTAAACTGACCCTTTAACTTTGTTAACAATATTGGAAAAGTTGTGGTCTCGTGAGTTATACTATAGTTGTTCGTTACAATAATCTACACAAGAATATTTCTTCTGTTTACACCTTGATGTTTGGTTAAAAGATGCCCTTTAAAAGAATCTATTTTCTTCAGCTTTTCTCCTCTTTTCATTCAAACAACAGTGATGATGGTCTGACGTGGGTAGACGTAGAAGTCGGGACGCAGACCATCAAAGTTCTCAACTGGGATGGTAAGTAATTGTGGAACATCACTTCTTACACAAAATTAAAAGTTTATTTTTTGGTGTAAAATCAAGTGAATCATGGGACATATCAAAACAACAGATACCACATGTCTGTGGCAATCACAGTGAACTACTAGTATTGTGAAAGCTGACCGGCTAAACAAATTTCTATCTTTGTTTTACGTCTAGAAGGACGTCAGGGCTTTATAACTAAGAGTGGGCAGCGTCTTTGGCCATCAGCAAAGGTGGGGTTACTGTACACCCGCGCTTAAGCAGCACTGGCACTTGGCATCGCCCTTCTTTTCCGACACATTGACTTACTCAAAGAAAAGAAAAACAAAGCTCTATATCTCATATTTATAGTGTTACAAGCCAAATTTATTGATGAGGGAGGCCCAGATTATTTTTACATTTAGGGTTATATACAAGTATCAGGTTTCAACAGAACTTGGAATGTGTACAGACTTCTGCGTAATATACTTTATTTTAAAGATGTTGCTTCATATTTGCATAGCTTGCAATGGCTTTGCATACGCAAATTTTACACACCTGTAATACATGATTAGGGAGTAAAATGATGTTCAAAAAAGGTTGATGAGAATGAAAATCATCAATAACCACATGAATCCACCACCCGTTTTAATTCTAAAGAAACTTAGCTAGCTGTACCGGTCAAACTGGTATAAAGTAAAAAGCGAGTTAACCGTAACCACTGAAGAGGAAACTGATGTTGTATGAAGGTATCTGTACGTAAAACACAATTTTTCCTAAGCAGTTTCCGACCCTGATTTTCCGTTGCAGAGGTAAAACAGGGCATCCTCACTCTGTCCGGACAGCGTCTGTGGCCGGCGGCAAAGGTGGGAGTGACGTCATCGTCTCAGAATGGTGTTCTAAACCATAATATGTTACTAATCAAGAGTTATACATGTACAGTACATAGATATTCGACAAAGGAACTAGGGCACCAAAATGTGCCACCAATAAGATGAGAATAAGTTGGTTTCTCTTACTAGGCACTGATGAAGCTGTAGTATCAAATGTTAAGCCTGTTACGTCCAAATACAAATGTCATTTTACTATTTTAACTAGTCTCTAGTATTCACGTGGATATTACTGAGAACAGAAAAAACAGTTACTGTCTGTAATTCAATGTCTAATCCTTGCACATGTCTTCAGTAAATATCGGACTGTTTGTAACTTTGTACCACACTTACACTTGACACGCTGCCCAGCCGAGTGCGCCTATGTTCTGTAATATCGGTATCACACTATTAATAGGCAGCCATCTTACAAAGCTTGGCGTTATGTCTACGATATACAAGTATAATTTTAGAGAATAACGTTATATCAATACTCTACTTGTTGATCATTTTTGTTTATTTGTATCTTGAAATGTTCCAGTTACTGGCCCTGCTGATGCACTTTAACCCGGACATTCTGGAAGGCGCGAAGAACGTCCTTGAGCTGGGAGCCGGTCTGGGGGTGGTGGGCATCGCCGCTGCCAAGATGGCGGCCAACGTCAAGGTTATGATCACGGACGGCGAGGACGAGGTCGTTGACCTATGCAGAGAGCATCTGAATAGGAACTTCGAAAAAGGTCAAGGTCGAGATGTAACGTCAGGCATTAACGCAATCCATTGATGATGAAACCGTAACAAGCAAAATCACGAAGATGGCTTTGTCAATGCGTTTCGCTCATATACGATGCCTTAATTGTGGTTTTATTTATTGTTGTGTGTTTGTTTTGTTGTGTGTTTTTGGTCGACTGCTCCGCAGCCGGACGATGATGATGATGATGATGTGTTTGTTTGTTTGTTTGTTTGATTGTTTCCTTTGTTTCTGTTTGTCGCAGACCAGCCACAGTGTGAGAGGTTATTTTGGGGCGAGGGTCTTGACGAGTTTAAGAAGCAGCACGGAACGTTTGACCTGATCCTGGGCTCGGACGTGGTGGAGGGGAAAGACTCCCTCCCGCCGTTCCTCCACACCGTCAAGGAGCTACTCAGCTCATCGGTGGGTTTACTGACAGCCAACTCGTTACAATACTGGAAGACTGTTTTGAAGCCGTTGTTTTGATGCCATGCCAACTTATACAGTATGCTTACTATAGTTTGGGTCCAGAACACACTGATAGAAATACCATGTCCACAAATATTGCAATAATACGTTTATTTCTTCTCACTCACTCACTCACTCACTCACTCACTCACTCACTCACTCACTCACTCACTCACTCACTCACTCACTCACTCTCTCTCTCACTCACCCACTCACCTGTCCACACACCTCTCTACAGAAAAAGCATAAATTGTGTCGCGTACAGTACCTTGTTGGTTTCTAACATGTTTTACTCAATCCTCTTCGCCCCCAGCCCACAGCCATGTGCCTGCAGACGTACGCAGAGAGACCGTACCTCCCACACGACCTGATCGAGCGGACCGCCGAGGCGTGCGGGCTGTCCTACACGTACATAGAGTGGGAGAACCAGCCCTGGGCGCACCACATGGTCCAGACACAGGACCCCAGCAGATGGGACAGGTTCTCACCGCGGTGGGCCAAGTTAAGGATCATCGCCTGGATGAAACCGCTGTCATCTTAAGTTCTGCAGTCTTCGCCGTTTGTAAAATCAAGAAGACTTTGCATTTATGGATTTGGCTAACGTTATACAAATGACGGCAAGCTACAGGATACGATGTGTAATATGTGGGCGAAACTGTGCTGATATTACATCGAAGGAAGTCCTAGATCAAAGATGAAATGTAGATTTGGGGTATATGTATATTAACATTTTATATACTGTGCACAACAGGTGGGAATGCAGTTATGTATGGACTCGTAAACGTAAAATAGAAAACGTAGAAACTTTATTTCACCATTCATAGCGACACCTCTGCATCAAAAATCGAAGTGTTTTATGGAAAAAACATTATGTACACATGCATTTACTCGTAAAATATTTTAACATTTCCAGGTATATATTGTTCATATGTCGCATGACTTTCGCCCATATCAACTCTGCAAACAGTGGAAAAGGACAGATCGATGTACAGCACATCAAACATTGGCACAACTGTGAGATACACCAAGTGAGTTATGTATCAGGCATATATACATAGAAATGATTACAAAGTCGAGTGCATAGCTTTGTATGTTCTCACCTGGTAGATATTCTAACAAAAAATTCTACAAGACTATCAACAGAGCAGCAAACCTATTTCAATAAACGGGGCACATTGAATTAATCTAACATTGTATTATTGTCCCTATCTCGCCTTGGTTAGCTGTTGGATTGCACTCTCCTTTGGTTTCGTCAGTTGTTCCACTTCCTCAATCATCCCCATCGACTGTACAGAAAACATAATAAAGGAAGACTTGCGATAAGAGAAGCGAAGGCCAAGGTAGATTCACATGTAACTTTAACTGGAATTACTCTAAGTAGCGAAGATACAATGTTTGCAAAAACTATCCCACACGTGAATCATAACATCATAACTTACCCAGACGTAGAACGTCGCTGCTCCGTTGCTGACGCTCCTCACGGAGTCCAAGGTGAGGTCATTCTCCTGTAGAAGCTTCTTCGCGTCTGCTACAACCTCCGGGCTGAGCTTGGCCGGCTGGCATTTCTTGATGCGTCTCTTCAGGCTCTGCTTACCCGTCTTACCCATCAGTGTTTGGAGTAACTGCCAATCCTGAAAGAACATTTATGTATCATATCTGGGGAAGATAAATCAACATCATGCTGCGGTACACGTTGCCATTTCGAAATAGAAATACCTAAGACCCCATTTCCATTAGGATAATATTGTCCGGATCGAGCCGAATTGATTCGCTTTGATCCGGTTTCGATCACGCTTCGAGCCGGATTAATTCGGCTCGGTCCGGACAAGTTTATCCTAGTCAAAATTGGACCAAAGTGTGCCACATTTTACGTAATAATTATCACGTGTCGTACCTTGATCTGTGCCTTCGAGTTGCCTAGCAACAGGAACGTCGCCATCATGACCTGATTGACAGCAGGTGGAGGCTGGTTGTACGTCTTGAGCTCGGCCACGGTGGCCTGGTTCATGGCCATGATCTTATGCCGTAAGCTCTCCAGGTGCAGCACGGCGTCCAGCACCCTCCTAGCCTCGTTCAGGTCCTTCTGCAGCTCGTCCTTGAACTCCGCGCAGCCCTGCATGGCGTCCTTCAGCTGGTCCTTCTGTCTGGAGTCGATAGCCTTCCGCAGGTCTGGAACATTGACATTAGTATGCATGGTGAGATATCTCTATAAATTGTGTATAGGGAGTTATCTCTGTGCTTTATACATGACCCTTACTTAACTTGTAATATAATAAATAGCATACATGTACAACAAAGGGATTTCATTCATTCATTGATCACGTTAGGAAGTATTTAGTCAAACAGCATTGAAACTTGTGGGCAGACAAATTAGATCAATATATGGCAAACATATAGGAAGTCATGGGCAAATCACTGGCCTTGTTTAGAGCTTTGTTTTCAACCATCTATATACTGTATTGTATAAGGAGAAGGCAATCACCAACTCCACGTCTATAATAAGAAACCAACCATACCTTCTCTGGCCGTCAGAAGTCTCAGAGTCCTTGTCGCCTCCTTGTAGACGTCTTCACTCTGAGAGAGGCCGTGCTCCTTGTACTCGGCAATCGCCTTCTCTATCCTGCTCCTGTTCTTTGCCTTTGTTGCTTCTGCCAATTTCTTCGTGATGACTTCGGCTGAAGCAGACAGAACAAAAGTCACCGTTACATAACGGCATAGGCATGACATGTCGTCATCTTCCAGAAAAAAGCATATCTTCGCTCACCTAGCTATTAAGGATAAGCAGTGAAAAGAGTGTATCCCTACACATTGACAGAAAGACAGCATTAGCTATAGAGCCAATGTAATGTAACTTACGTGTGTTGTCTGTGTTCTCGTCAATTTTCACGTCTTTAATGAGGTCGAAAAGCGCCGTCTGTTTGGTTTCCTTCAAGACGTCACGGAGCACGACGAAAGCTTCTTCGCCTTCTCTTGACACCACCTGGAAATTAAAGTCACGGACATTCCTTATCCACCTTCTGATATAATTTACTCTTACATGAACATTAACTTTGAGCCTCAAAATGGTGTGGAAGGAGTGTTTACATTTAAAGTTCTAGGCAAAACCAAATAAGGCTGTGCGGACTCACGTTGAGAACAGCTTTGTTGACTTCGTTGGCGTTGTCCGGCAGCTGGAGAGTCATCTCGTGGGCCTCCTCTTCGTCGATGAACTTCTCTTCTTCGAACCTCGGGATGACCTTGACCGGGTCCATGTTCTCCTCCAAAGTCTTCCTGTTTCTCGCAGGACCACTTGGTATTCTTCCTCTTGTCCCATGTCCTCCTCTTCAATGACCGGACCATGGTTTTGATCATCGTCGTCGGCGTCGTCGGCGCCTGCCTGCAATGTGTACCGCAGGATCTCCGTGTAGTCTCCCTCCTCGTGCTCAGGAAGAACGTTCAACGTCACAGCGTCGCCGCTGTACTTCTTCCCCGGCATCGTCACGGCGCCTTCCCAGGTCCCGTCCTCCGCCTTCTTCAGCTGTATCCACTGTGACGTGGGCAGGGTGACAGCCACTTCTCCTGCGCCCGGAAACCTTCCCCTGAATGTCACAGTTTCCTTCGCCTTCAGAGTCCTGGCCAGTGGTTCGTGCAGTTGGTAACCTTGCCCCCAGCCATCGGACCGCTCTGGGAACGGAACACTTTCGTCCAGGCCCTGTTTGCAGAATATCAGGTAGTTTGTCAGCACTTCCTCTCGGTTGTCGCCTTCAGTGTCCTTTGCGAGCAGCGTCAATTTGTAGTAGCCGGTGTCGTTAAGACGCAGGTCGACGGAAAACGTCTCACCTTCGTCACTCGCGTCTTGCACGAACGCGTAGGACGACTCGTCTACCTCGTGACCATCATCAGAGCAGCGGAACAGAGAAGCGTAGATAGTAGAGAACTCGCTCTTTTCAAAGGCAAGTCGCAAGTTGCCGTCCTCAGCCTTGACGAACGGGTCTTCGTGACTTTGCGGACGGAGGCCGTTGTCGGTAAAGGCAGGGTACACGGGTCCCCAGCGTCTGTTCGCGACCGCCGGGAAAGGCTCGAACGGGACGGTGGCTTGAACGCAGCGAATGAGGTAATTTGCTACATTTTCGGGAGTATCCGAACCTTCTCCTTTCGCTGTAACTTGCAATGTGTACTCCCCTCTCTTCGGGAAGCGCAGCACCACCACTGTCTTATTTCCTACATCAAGGACTCTGTGGCAGTTGTAGTCATCTAACTCAATCTTGCTGCCACCGCGTGCCAACTGAAGTCGGTGTGTGTACTGCAGTTGAGGAGGAGAGTCCAGCACGATCTCATGCTCTCCCGAAGCTTCTATGTACGCACTGGGATGGTTCTTTGCGGTGACACTCAACGTGAGAGCCTGTGGATACACCAATCCCCACTGTCCCCCTTCAAGTGAGGGGAAAGGCTTCGCGCCTTTGGTTGCTTCGCTGCAATTAATGTTGTAATTGATGACGTTTTGAGGGGCAGTTCCTTCTTCTCCATCCTGGGAAGCCGACTTGCTGTCCTGTGACTGCATCTCCCCTGCATTGACAGAGAGGGTGTACTTCCCCGCCGTCGGAAGCCGGAGCAAGAAGCGCAGCTCGCCGTCCATCGTCTCCTGAAACACGTACTTGCTCATGTCCATCTTTTCGCCATCTTCCTCCAGTGTGAGTTGGTGAGATACCTGGAGACGCCTTTCCATGCCGAGTCTGATGTCCAGTTCTCCCGTGTTGGTCTTGATGGACGTGTTCGGGTGGCTACCCAGGGACAGTCCCAGGGCGGCGAGGGCTGGCAGCAGGTCGACTGTTTGCTCCGCTGAGATTGCTTCTTCAGAGTCTTCTCCTGTAGAGTGAAATAATGCATGTTGTATAAACAAAATGAGAAAATATTTCCCTAGACGCTTCTGCTGCTTTATGCATAAAACCACAAATGGAAGCAAGCTTTTGTAAACAAGACTGAAATTACACTTACCGACAATATATTGCAACAGCGGCAAGTAAGAGTCCCCTCCCTCCTTCATCTTGGCGACCACCTTGACCTCGCCCCCCGTGTAGCCTCCTAGCGGCACCAGGACATCCCCCTCCCACGTCCCGTCCTCCCCTTGCTCCAGATGGCACCACTTCTTGTTGGGTAGAATCACAGCTACTCCTGCAGCGCCGGGGACCTTCAGCTTGAAGTGCTGACTGTCTCCGCCCGGTAATGTTCTTTTATTGGGTTCCACAATGCGACACCCTGTGCCCCAGCAGTCCATGAACTGAGGGAACCCTGTGTGTACAGTAGTGCTGTCCCCGGCGGCGTCGGTGCAGTGAATGAGGTAACTGACTGCTCTCTGGTGATTGCCGTTCGCGCCAGCAGCTTTGGCAAAGAGGCTGAACTTGTAGTAGCCAGCGTTTGGAAGAACCAGTTTTGCTTGTATTTGCTGGTCATTCTCTGGGTCGTCTTGAATGATTGCGTGGGCCGTCATATCGTTAGCTTTGCCGTCTTCATTATGAGTCAGTTCGGGATAGAACCACAAAGGTCCCGTCGTTCCAAAGGTAACAGTAACTTCCCTTGTGTCTGTAGTGATCACTGGGTCCGTGTGACTCGCCAGGGTCATGCCCAGTTGGTCAAAGCAAGGGTAGATGGGTCCCCAGCGCCTGCCCATCACTTCAGGGAAGGGTTGACACGGATCTGCGGCCTGCTCACAGTTGATCAGGTAGTTCATCACGTTCTGGTCTTTCCCGTCTGCGTCCCTCACGTAGAGTTCCAGACTGTACTCCCCGACTTCTGGAAACTTCGCGAGAATCACCATCTTCTTCCCGCCGTCGAGTATCTTGTGACAGGCGAAGTCTCCCACGTCTCTCTGCTGCTGGCCCATCTTCCACAGCTTCAGGTGGTTCGTGTAGTCCAGCCGCTCCGCCGAGGTGAACTCTTTCTCAACACTTCCCGATGCTTGAATGTAGGCAGTCGGATGGCTGGCCGGCGTGAGGGCGAGGTCGGTCAAAGTTGGGAACTTTCTTCCCCATTGCTTCCCGTTGACGACCGGGAAAGCGCCAAGACCTTCTTTTGTCCCTGTGCAGATGATGCAGTAGTTGGCGACGTTTCTCATCTCACCCTGTTGACCGAGTTCCTTAGCGTAGATAGCTAGCTTGTATTTGCCCAAGCGGGGAAGCCGGAGCCAGAACTGCACTTCTCCATCTAGAATCTGCTTGAACACGTTCCCATGCAGGTTGACCTTCTCTTCAAGGGTTTCCCAGAACAGTTCGTGGTCGTAAACCAGGACACGGTCGGCGCCAAGTCTAAGGTCAAGTTCACCGGTGTCGCACTCTATGAAAGCAGTTCTGCTGGACTTGGACAGCCCCAGCTCGGAGAAGGCGGGAACGACCGGGCCGTACAAACCATCGGTCACCGCTGGGAACGGAATCGCGCCCTGGGCTTGGTTGGGCGAGGTCTGCGTGATGTAATTGCACAGCAGAGTGTCCTCCTCTTCTTCTTTTGAGTAGATTGCCAGTCCATGGTTTCCTTCCTTCGGTGAAACAACGTGGAACTTGACTACGTCATCGATAACCTCGTGGGCAACATACCGCTGCAGATGACGGTCGTTCAGCGTTTCTTCAAACAGCTTTGCGGTGAGCTTCACGCTCTGGTCCATCCTAAACTCCACTTCTGCCGTTCCGTCATCACACTGGACATAGGGAGAGGGATGGGTGACCGGCGTCAGGCCTTTGGACACCACCTCCTTGCCTGGTCCCCACGATCCCTTGTAGTCGGGTAGAGGGGCGTTGTCACTGATGTCTTTAGCTTGGTCACAGACGATCATGTACTCGCAGACACGGAAGGAGTCCTTGGAGCCGCCGAGGCCCACGTAGGGTTCGAAGAGGAACCTGCCCTTTTCAGGAGGACGAATAGTGAAGACCACCGCTCCTTTCATCCTTTGCTGGGAAACGAACCTGTCTAGTTTGATCCCCCGCCATCTGGACTGCTCTTCCTTTGTCTTCAGATTGTAGGTGAATTCCATGTTCTTGTTCATGCTAGCCTGGGGAGGAAGGCCGATGTAGATGTCTACCTGGCCGTTCTCCGTGTGTACAAGGCCGCTATGGTGACTCAGCAAGAACAAGCGGAGAGCGAAAAATGCAGAAGTGCACTTAACGTGGGACTCGAAAATCTCCAAAGGTACAGGGTTTTCGATCAGCTGCCAGTTCGGATGCTCGGGGCAGTGAGAGCTGAGATAGTGGAGAGGGTTGGGGAAGAAGTAGAACTCGTCCATGGATATTTGGGACTGGAGGTCTTCCAAGGCTTTGTCGTCATCGTCGTCTATGACGGAGTAGGACCCCCAGTGGGTGTCCACGATTCCCCACCGACCGTCGATGCACACGCCGGTCCACGTGGTCGAGGGAGGTTCTCCGACGTACTTGGTTCCCGGGAAGCAGCGAGCACCCTTACAGTGGCCTTTAACGAACTCGCACTGCAACCCAGCATATCTGCAACAAGGATAGGGCAAGCAATGTTAGAATTTCAAAATAAATCAGATCTACTATCTTTAAAGTACTAAGCTGAGATGTAGCTAAATGTTGGTGGGCTTTGATTTAAGCGTTCATGATTTTTTAATAGCACTGTCGTTGACCAGATACACTGCTGCTACCTGCAAAGATAGTTGAAGAGGTAGCGATAGGCATCTGTTCGCCTCTGCTTGATCTTCTGTAGGAACCAGTCGGGAGAGCCCTCCGGTGGCGGCTGTGGGAACTGCATGCGATGGACGTCCTGTGCTGCGATCCAACTGAAGAGGACTCGCACCTTCTCCAGCTCCGTGTGTGTGGGCTGCATGAGATGGCTGACCAGGAGCTGGAAGTCTCCATTTAGTGATCGCGGAGCCTGTGGGAGTGAAGAAAGTAACAAAACAGTCGTGAATAAATCGTATGAACGACTATACGTCAAGTTTTATTTTATTTTACACTTTTCCAACAACAACAGGAATATGATATGATATTAATAATTGGTCAGCAATGGTATTTATCAGCAATGATAAGTTTATAGTCTCCTGTACTCTTAAGAAGAAATCATAATGGTTATGGTAATTCTATCGTAAAATACCCAAAAGTAAACCTCTAGTTGTGTGGTTTTGTCTCCCCACCTTTTTGGCGTAGCCGTCCAGTTCTCTGAAGGTTTCCTTCTCCCAGAACAGTGAAGGTTTGTGGACCACGTGACCAGTCCGCCCGCCGGCCCCCAGTACCGTGTACGTCAGCATCCTCTCACCTGTCTCCTGGGAGAACGGCCACACCTGGACAGGTACGGGCGAAGGATGTGCTGATATATATACGGGGTATCTAACACGTTCACACTAACTTCCCAATACATATTGCTATTGGCTATCCTTTCTGCATACCGTCTTGGTTTCACGGTTTTACCGGCATCCAATGCAATTTCAGGCCAGTAAAACAGGATTTTCAAAGTCAATTTTTCTGGGTTTTTTTTAGATGTAGTAAGTTAAATTAACACGATATCTGTGAGGCAAAAACGGGATGTCGCTGACAGAAAACGGTTGCTTGCTTCCTATCATAGGGTCTAGCTATTGATTGGTAGTACCAGAAATAAAGGAACTCTCTCACGTAGTTTGTTTCTGTGTTATTTCAAACGATTGAACGCTTGAAATGATCGCAAAACATGTGCTGAGAAGTGGCAGTAAATGTCTATTTGATACTGCATTGGACCCCCCCCCCGGTGAATAAAACGCTGTACAGCACGATTTCTCACCTCCTCATCATTGTGAACACTGCACATCCTGCAGGTGGTCTGCCACTTCAGTCTGACGTCATCAGGAACACTCGGCATCCAGGCCGGCCCTTCAATGACTTTCTTCTTCCTGTTCACCTTCGTCCACTGTAGTGATTGGAAGTGACATTGTATATGATGTACACGTAAGTTGTAAGATATGTATTCATCATATCGGAATTAGATGCTGACCTTCAATGTGTAATTGGTACAGTAATGTCGCCGATATCATTCATTTACATGATGCATATAATATATCAATCTGGTTTCTTGGTTTGTCCGTTCACCTGCTGTGTTATTGTAGCTTCCTTTCTTGTTAATTTTACGCTCTGAATATCTAGTACGGCATCTCGAGCACGTAGCCCATTTCACATAACTGGCAGCTTGCCAAATAAAGCCTACCGCAAACGGTGTGTGAAAATGCTTACTCTTTGTTTTCTGCTTTGAATAATTGTGCATTTGCTGTTTTCTGTCACTCTGTTTTTTTTTTCAAATATTTTCTTTTGTCGTCATCCTTTTCAAATTTTGAAATCAATAGCATGGCCCCCCTGCCGACTCAAACACGATTCCATTTCCGCATGCGTTGCCAAGGTACACCTACTAGGATACAATTGTTCCTTTCAGACGGTGGAAGAAAGCTACCATGGCATGTAACGTCAGATACCATATAACACTGTCGGAGTTAAACTAAGTTGATTAAACAACAGCAACAGTTACCCGATCGGTATCAGCGACTGTTGTCGGTGTTGTTGTTGGTTGTCCATTACTGGGGCCGGGTACGAGTACCGGCTGCAATGGTGAACAAGGAAGAGAAATGTTGGACATACGGATACAAACTTTTGTTCAACCGATCGTTCTGGTTATATGCTTTACGTTTTGCACCCATTATACATGTACCATAATGGTTTGTATACCTTTGTTTTTCCTTCACAAGGCAAATATTATAGTACCAAACAAATGGTAACAACTTTCCGAATATCTAAAAATAGATTCAGATATTGAAAAGAAGTACAATGAAAAGTTTGTCCACGTTAAAACAAATTTACAGAACTGATAATATAGCACGCACGTTGAAAGCTTTAGAATACCGTTCATAGTCTGAAAAAACATCTCGTCCCATGACTGTCTGTAGTCAATCAATTAATCTGTCAATATTATTGATCGACACTTGTCAAATACTGAAAAACAGAAGCAAAGGCCACATACTCATCAAACACTACCTCGGATAAAAGCAAAGATGCATTTTATTTGCAAGTTGTTTTTAATGATCACAATTTAAAAAGTTTACAGTGCTCTTTTCTTTGAAATCCACGATATATACAATGCCCATGTATCCCGTACCTGGTAATACGGTGAGGTGCACGGTACTGGATACTGACCCGGCCCCAGGACAGTCTGGCTCTGAAGTTGGCCGGAAGTCGACGCCCCACACCCCATCCTGTCGATTGTTCACCCTGACACTGAAGTAGAGAATGATACTGTAGGAGTTCCTTATTGAGTAGTTAAACCATTTCAACTGATAAGGTTATCAAAAACAACAATCTCTACAGTGAGGTATTGAAAAAAAAATATATGATGTACAAAGCCGCTACTTTCCACCCACGAAGCATGGTTAAACATACTAGAAGTGAGACACAAATTTGTTTATTCAAAAGCGTGATACTTATGATTCTATTCACGTAAGGCAAAGGTTTCAAACCTTCATGTCATGCCTACAAACCTCATGTGTAATGACGTTATCAAAGATTTATGAACACCATGTCATTATTTTATAGATTCTATATGCTTATAAGACTTAACCAGGTGGTTGTTGTTTATATGGGGTGAAAGATCGCGTTAGCGGGTCGTGGGAGAGTCATATTTGCCCGGCCTGTACAATTACAAGATACGAAGTTTGTTCCCAAAGTCCGATTCACTGGTAGTTCGAGTATAAAGCTAGTTAGCTTGTAGTTAAAATAACAATCTCTATTCCCTACAATGACCGTCTAGTCACTGCGTATCCATGGACGTGGCAGCCTGTCTTGCACCGTTAATAATGACAGTAGTAACCGACAATGGTTAGTTTTTTCTCTAAACAACGCACATAGCGAAACACTCATAGCGAAACTAACCCCATAGAGATTTAGACAACATTTCACTTCTCAGTTATTCGTTTTATTCAACGCCAACCCCTACCTTAAGAGAGAGAGAGAGACCGCACAGAGAGAGACAGACACACACGCACACACACACACACACACACACACACACACACACACACACACACACATATGCACCCTCCCTCCCTCGGATACCTGATCGGTATAACTAGGACAACCATATAATAGTCATGCAATTCTATGCCATCTACATGACATTCTATCAATTAACAAATGCACAACAAAGAAACATCCCCCTCTGCCCAAATAATGGTCTAAGTGTATCCTTAAAACCATCTATCTATTAGCATAGCCACAACAAAAAGATGCAACTGAATCCTTCCACCAATGAATCCTAAACGTCAGCATTAATTACGTCGTACCAGCTAGGCTAAAATACCCCAAATCTACAATCCAGCAAATTGCCAAATGCAGTTCCTCATGTATGTTATGAATGATTGACACTGAATACTGAAGCGTGATATTTTAGACCGATCCAGTAAGGAGGTACCTTTTCTAGCCTTTCCAAACTATATGGCATGTTGCATCTTGTACATTTGAGATTCAGTAAAAAAGAGGAGTGAACATGTGGAACGTAACGTTCCACATGCGGTGTGCCCACCGTGCTTTGTTTCCTTATGAACGAGGAAACGTATGGGATCCTTCCACTAGTTAGCCTAAGTTGTTTGCTCTAAAGGGGGGTGTCGGAAGGTGCACCGTACACACCACATGTTTGCCAAGACTAAACTGTTAACCTGTTGTGTCAGTGGAGCAAATGGTACTCGCTTAGACAGATTTAACCCATTCTACATCAGAGTTACTAAATACAACAAAAACACAATTAATGTCTGTTTCTTTTGTCAACATCTGATGCATAACATACTAAAAAAATACCCTAAAATGGCTCATATATCTCGTAAAAAACAAACAGTGTCCTACCTTAGCCCCAAGCAACGCTGAAGTTGTTGCCACCACTTCTTCAAGAGTTTTAAGAAATCCGTCTGGAGACTCTGGACACCGGTGCGCAGGTAAACACAACAAGACCCATGAGCAGTCAGCCGCACCACGTAACACAGTGATTCAACTATGCCGAGGTCCAAGGCAACTGGCCCTTGTTTTAAGAGTGTATCCGACTAGCTCCAGGCGACGACATACGAAACCCTTTGACCAAAAAGCTTTCTATTGTGACGGTAAACAACGCGGACAAAAGGTTACTTGTAACTTAGACGAGCTAAAGTTCAATGGTACAAGGTGCAGTTATGTACAAGCTGGTGCGTGGGTTGGTTCACTCACTAGGGTGGGATATTACTTGTACAACGCCATTTTGCACACCAACAAGCGTCAAGTCTATGGATATTCCATCTTAAAAAGTTGACACTAAGACAGTAGTGGTGGGGTCGTAATGTCAATGATCATAATGCCTTCCGTACATGTGTGTGTCCGCACAACTTAGCAACGCAGACATGTGTTTACACGGAGTCTGTATGGGGCATTGTGACATACCCTAAAGGACATATTGACTCACTTTTAGCCTGATGGTGATGTAAAGACGTCCTTCTTGAGCGCCACTCGACCAACTGAGCATTAAGCCATTATCATCCGCCACCCTAGAGGACTAGGTTATCAAGTTCTATTGGCCGTTGCCCATTA